AAGTGTGGGAAATCAATATTACTAATCAAAATAGAAAATATGTAGTTTTATAATGAAAACTGTGCACATATCTTAAAGCAAATAATTGGGGAAGATACACAAACGTTACCATAAATATTATACAAATAATCGATAAATAATCACAACTACAATCAATCAATGTCAATCGTGTGACATAAAAAAATAACTATAGATCAATATTGAATTTTTAAAAAACTGTAAATATCGGTGTGAAATAAATGCCATATTAGTTATTGGAAAATCAATACTAATAGAATTTACTAAAATACATTGATAAACTTTTTTTAGTTTTAGCTAGAAAATCGGGAAAATCTTACGTTATTGATACGATATTGGAGCAATAAAACACCTTTGTTTTCTAGAAGACTCATCTAAAAGTTGGATACGTTGTATTACTTAGAGACCTAAACATTAACAATAATGTCTTTAACAGATATAATGAAGGAAACAGAGTGATATCTCAATGCCAATCTGTTACAACGTAAACAACGTCAAGTTTATACCAATAAAATAATTTAATTAATAATACTAACATTTAAATATTTTTTCTCATATTTACATGCCATTTCTGGCAAAGATTTCTAAACGCCTTTCGCAAGATCTTTGTAAGATCGACTAAAATTCCATTCATAACTTTTTATCTATTCTAGCACAAAAGTCTTTCAAAAAAACTTTTTAAGCAATTGAATTTTAATACAAATATAATAGAAAGCCGAAAGATATATATTATTATTTATACATACATAACTATTTACTGAATTTAGCTTATGTCTTGAAAGAAATGGACACGGCTATTGCAGCATTAACAGCAACAGTGGCAAAAAAACAATAATTAGTTTTAAAATTATAGCTTAAATATAATCCTCTAAATAAATAAATAAATGTTAAAGATATATTAATAAATATTAAAATTTAAATACATAAAAAATATATTAATATTTAAAATATATATTTTAAAATGTTTGCAAAGACAGCTTATTATTTCAATAAATTTATGTTTTCGTCTTATTTAAAATAAAGTTAAAATTAATTGTACAATTTTTACTAATTTTAATTAATTATTTAGTTTTATTTTATGCATAATTATAAGCATTTAAGTATATAAACTGAGTGTTTTCTATATATCTACCTGAGCTTGTTCCTTGAACCAAAAAACATTAGATTAGGGTTCCGTTTCCGATATTTAGTAGCACCTTACCACAAAAAAAAATGTCATTTCAAAACAATTTGTTAGATATCTATTGATATGTTTTTTCTCAGTAAATACTATATAAAATGGAACTACTTTATATTCACTATTTTTTACTTCTTGAACCAAAAAATCAGTTTTGGATTTTACATGAGGTATACAAATAAAATCCTGAATATTTGCTTAAGAGACTTATAAAAGAAGTTAGTCGTACTGCTGAGAATATTATTATTATGTTGAGGCTAGTTAAGTCAGAGCACTTAAGCGAGATTTCTTTATAACTCCTCTCTACGTCTTGACTGAATTATTGTTTATCTCTTTATCAGACTAAGCAATAATTTACCTCAAATCTACATACCTCCCCGATGAGCCTGTAACCATTCTGAGATTCGATAGCGCGGTGTTGGTAAGCCTGTCAGTTTTCGTGAATAATTTCAGAGCTCTATCCCTTATGTATTTTTTGATCGAATCAATCTTGTGGTCCCTGACGAAGTCACTTGTTCTAATGTACCATGGTACCTTGAAAAATATTCTCAGAGCCTAGCTTTATGCAATTTCTAGCTGGCGAATAGTAGTGTTTGAAGCCTTGCTAAGCGCTACACATCCATATAGAAGTGACGATCAAATTATTTTGTTATATAACAGCTTCCTGTTCTTAGAATTGAGAATTTCATTTTTAAATAGCGGTCGGAGATGATAAAGAAGGCACAGCTAATTTTTTTCAATTGAGCATGTTTTAGTCATGCAAATCGTTTGTCCACCGTAACGTCTAGATATTTAATGTTAGAATAACTTATAATACTAAATATTCCATAAAATGCTACTGACTAAGAAATTAAAAAATTTATTTCTACATACATCAATTTTATTATTAATGTATTTTTTTGCCAACAAATGGTATTTATCTTAATTTAGTTAAAAGCAAATTTATAAATAATTTAAAATATTACAATAAACAAATTACAAGTAATAAATTGTTTTTTTCAGTAAATTTGCTTTCAAACAATTTATTGCAAAATATACTATTTATTGTCAAATAATTTGTTGAAATCAACAATAAAACCAGTAGGTAAGAAGAGAAAAGTTGAATTAGAAATAAACTTAAATTTAAAAAAATTAATAAAATCACAGTTTATGTGTTGTCGATTTATACAAAGTATGTGATTAGCATAAATAACGAGTTTCAGTTAAATTATAAACTGTGTTTTATATGCAAAAATAGTGAACAATCGAGAGTTTTTAAGGCTAACACAGGCGAGAATAGCGCTGATAATAAATAATTTTGCATGCAATAACTTTGCAGAACTTTAAAATTTAAACAAATGTCAAAGTGGCAATACCAGTACAAAGTAATGGATATATTAAAATTAGTATAAGTATAAACGTTCAATAAAATGTAATTAAAATTGCTTAGCGCCCACGTACAAATAAAGTTTACTTAACAAAAGTTCAGCGAGTTTCAACGTTTCAAATGAATTTAATAAAAATGTTTAAGATACATTTTCTGAACTGCTGCATGAAAGTATAGATACCTTATGAATAGGTGGTATCTTTCATTTCAACTCAACATTTTGTAGAAAATTTTACTATGTTATTTTGTGTAGATGCATTTCATACATGTATTTCTTTTTACTTTTTATTAATTCTAAATTTTTTCCAGATTAAAAGCAAATATCAAAATATACCAAAAAGATATACAAAAAAAAAAGATAATAATAATAATAATAATCAGACTCGTCAGTGAAAGTTACTAAAACGTCGTTAACGTTTATGTTAATTTCTTTTACGTGCATGTCTGTAACGCTATAAGAATGTCTATATATGTATATTTATCTTACCACTCACATGATTAAAAATTATGGCTTATATAGATACATGAATGTATATGAGAACACACAGTATACATAGTTAACACAGTAATAGCAGACCCAAAAATTCATTCGTCATCACAAAAAGTTGCCGCTGCTGCGCACATAAACTTTAGCACAATTAAATGAGGCATCTTCCTCTTCTTCTTCTGTCTTTCTTCACGATTTTTATTATTTTCGGTCGGTTTGGTTGCACTAATAAGAAGAATCAAGAGAAATGTGTGTTATATGTATATGTAAACACCATCTGTTGTCAGTTAACAAGTCACTAGAATTTTGAGATCTTCACGATTTATAACGTTCACTTCATAATGACATTATTAAATAAAGAATAATGATAAATACAAAGAAAAAATCTTGCATGAGAGAAATTTTCGATCGGTTGATATTTTATTTAAATTTAAATAAATATACTCGTATGTGACAATTTACATATGATTTAGTTTAATAAGTTGAAATCGTGATTTTTGTTTAGTACATACAAGAATGGTAGTTGAGTTACCTTGAAGTTCAGATTTGAATAATACATATATTATAAATCCAAGAGAAAAAAGTTTCAAGATATTAGTTTCAATAAAAAAACACGCTACTATCAATCCAACATTGATATAAATATATAGAAAAACAGTTAAAAAGTGATTTAACAAGAATTTTCTTATAAATTTAAAAAAAAATATTATAAGTATTAAATCCTATGACAGCAGGGCGAAGGACCTACAGACTAGTTCCTAATCCTTAGTTAGCTTTAAAATTAATTTTAATGTTAACTCACAAATAAATAAATAAATATTCTATAACAAGAAATTTGTTTCGAATAGAAAAGGGTGGTAACGGTAGAGAAAATCCAAAATAAAATTTTTAAATTTTTAAAAGAAATATAACAAATTTTTTTCAAGAAAAAAAGCTGACCATATGCTCTTTCATATGGCATCAGTAATATTTGGAAACGATCTATTAATCCGTATAAAATGTTTGGATTGAAAATTGTATCCATAGGTCCGCAAAAAAAAACAACACAATACAAGTTTTGCCAATTTTTGTGGCATTCATGAGCTTTTCAAATCTTCCTTTTAAGCACTGTTACTCGATGAAAACCTGCAGTCTTGCTCGAGAAGTTACTTGTATATAGTTAGTTTTTTGTGGTAGAAGTCTTTCACTATATAATATATAGAGTATTAAAAATGTATTGTACCCAACAGCAAAGAAACCACGTGTTTTGTAACAGCAAAAGATTGCAGAACTATCCTTTCTAACTAACCTTTCAAGAAGGTTAATAAAATATTATATATAATTATATATAATGAAATATATATATATATAAAATTAAAATTTCGAATCAGATTATTCAATTTGGCCTACTTTTAAAAATATGAAAAGATGAAATGTTCACTTAATATATACAATTTTATTTTGCAATTAATTATTTAATACAATTTAAATGGATTTAAATTTAAACTAAAAATTTAAACTAAATTTAAATAAATTTTACAATCATTGCTTAACATTTTACAATCACAATATTTCTTTATATATAATCTAAATAATTTCATTATATGTATAATCTTAATAATTTCATTAAATGTATAATTTTAATAATTTCATTAAATGTATAATCTTAATAATTTCATTATATGTATAATCTTAATAATTTCATTATATGTATAATTTTAATAATTTCATTGTATGTATAATTTTAATAATTTCATTATATGTATAATCTTAATAATTTGATTTACAATATAAAACTTAATCCTATATAAACTTAATTACTTTGCTTAACACTATTATTACAATTTAATTATGTAATTTACAATATAAAACTTAATCCTATATATAAACTTAATTACTATTATTACAATTTATTTATAATTAGATTTACAATTTTCCTATATATAAACTTATTACCTATTAATCTCATTAGTTTCATCATTTTCACAATTTTCTTTTTGGTCTCTCTCACAGTACGTTGTTGGTTATTAGGATCCTTTTTTCAGCTAATATTACGTTGAATTTCCAGTAAAAGTATATACTGTATATAGTATATATATCCAATCCTTCCATCCTTCCGGCTCCTTAAAGTTCGGTGCTTGGTGTATTCGGGCCAACATTTTTCATACCCAAATTCATAAGTTTGCGCGTACGATATATTTCCAACTTCAGCTTACGTTTAAATTCCAACTCTTGGTTTATGGTCTTTATATCCTCTGGAGTGCATTCGTTTAGATTACTAACCTTCTGCGTAATAAGTTCATCAGTTATTTCAAATTTCTTCTTGGAGAGTCTCAAATATTGTGAATTACGTTTACGTAGTTCTTCACGATACAAGAAGAGTTGATAGCTCAAATTTGTTTTTGGTGAATTTGGTATATTTTCCATAATTTTTTATTAAGATTGTAGAATATTACTTTCGGAAATAATTAATTTCAGTTAAATAAATTCAAACTGTGAAGTATTCTGCGCTAGTTGAGAGTTGGAGTGCTTCTGTGCATCCTTCGTAGGATGTCAGGTTTTTATAGCGAATCACAGTATAATTTTCGTATACCTAGCGAATCTTCTTCAAGTACTTTTATGATTGTTATTGTACATACATGTAAATACCTGTCATTTCTTGGTAAATTCTTTTAATAAAATAATGGATATGTTTTTTACTTGATTGTTTTTAAAATAGTTTTATTGATTCGTGTGAAGATGTACCATATTAATCTACCTGATATACCTGTCGCCCATTATATTATATTATTTAAATTAAGTGCGTACATTTTTTGTTGGCTGTATGAACAGGTAAACATGTTTAAATGAATTAAATATGTTTAAACGGAAAATTAGATTTCAATTTTATTTA